TATTGATATTTACTGCAACTTCCCAACATATTGTATGAAGACGAACAAGGGTGGTTTATGAAGACATGCTATTGTTGTGATCTTATCTGTTTGGGACGTGTACGTTGAGCTTGCAATCCCGCTCTCAGCACGTCATCAACGTGATGACGGTGGGAGGTGGGATGTTACGTCATGAGCGTTTCAGTTGTATGTGTGAGAGCATTTCAGTAGTGTGTATAAGAGCGTTTCAGTTGTATGTGTGAGAGCGTTTCAGTAGTGTGTGCGAGCGAATAATCTTCCAGTTGTTTATGTGAGAGTGTTTCAGTAGTGTATGTAAGAGCATTTCACATGTGTTTGTGAGAGGTAATTCTGAATAATGTCCCTGGCGGCCCCTCATACCATGTGTTTGTATTTGCATTGAGAAGCTACACTTTTATGGAGGACTGAAAGTGCCACAATTAAATAAATAAATACACCATTAAATAATTACTTAAATGTGTCATTAATTAATTGAAATTGGAATTAAATACATAAATATGATATTAAATGTGTCATTAATTAATTCAAATACCGATTCATTTAATGTAAAATACATATATAACTATTTCACTATTTACATTTACATTTTATGGTCCTGCGTTGCAGTGCTTCATGAATTACTTAAAACTGTCAAACTCACCCATCAAAAGTTGGTAGGCGGGGAACCTAACGCCTGATTGGTTACCCTGCGCATCAAGCCAAGACAAATCAATTCCAGATAATGGATCGATGCAGAGCTAGTGAACACATTCCAATACACTGGGTGGCGCTATTGGACTACTTCTTCTAAATCTGCAGTCACTCTGTGGTCAATATCTTGGTCGGAAAGTGCTGAAATAACTCCAAGAACTTCAATAAGTTCCTCTGCTTTACTCGCTACATGCTCTGGGTCAGCAGCTCCTGCTTCCACATCCTCTGCTAAGTCTAAAAAATAAAATAAAGTGTTTAACTTTGAAAAATAAAGTGTAGCAGCAGCTTGAGTTTCCCTTTTTCTTTGTTAACTGTTTCATATCTTGATTTACAGTCTCAACAAATTTTATAAATGAATATCAACACATCTTTACAATTGAACAGTTTCTCTTTCATTCCCTTTTATATCTTTCTACACACTTTCTGTTGTTCAGTGAGAGAATTGAGCTCTAACCTCTCTCCCTCGTTGGGCAGTGAATGAATGGGTCAGGATCAGTGTTGGTCATCTTACTTTAAAAAAGTAATTAGTTATAGTTACAAATTACTTATCCCAAAAAGTAACTGAGTTAGTAACTCAGTTACCACATTGTAAAAGTAATTAGTTACTCAGCAAAGTAACTGTGACATTATTTTTTATGGTCTATAATTACATTCTGTAACGTTAAAGATGTTTATAATCACTGAATAAAGAATAAAAACACTATATACAGTATTTTAGAACATTTGGTATTTATTTGAACTCAATAGATTGCAGCCGGCCATATACATAGAAATAAAAATATATACAAAATAAATATTGAAAATAAAATTCACACGTTACATAAACATTCTTGCCTTTAACTTCAGTAAGCGAGTAGTAGTGTCGGTACTTCCAGTTTGATATCGCTACCTTTGAATTTCCCTAGCTCGTCGCCATTGTCTCTGTCTTGGCATCCGCCCACCCAGCCAATCATCATCACCACCCTGCCCTCTCCCGGCAGCTGATGTGCGGCTGTCAGAAAGCCTGACACCGCTGCGCTTCATTCACCACATTGTAGGAACGCAAGTAACGCGCCACTTTACATTCTCAGTAACGGTAACGGCGTTACAACGATGGGAAAAGTAATTAATTAGATTACTCCGTTACTGAAAAAATAACGCCGTTAGTAACGCCGTTATACTTAAACGCCGTTACTCCCAACACTGGTCAGGATACTGGTTGAGTGATCATATTGGGATCTGAGCCTGCTTATTTTCTGAGAGCTTGTTCAGACTCGAGTGGGTATGTTTGATGAAAACTTTGTGTTTTGTCTCATAGTGGCGTTTCACACTGGCACTTTTAATCAGCGTCTCTGAACATATGAGACACACTGGTTATGTGCTCCCAGTGGGAAGAATGAATGTGAATGAATCTGTCCATTAAAAGCTCGATTTTCTATCCACTTTTCTCTTCTTAGAGAGCGCCATAAATCTTCTGTTGTCTCTCGCTCACTCATCTCTCCGTTTCCTCTCCATGTATCTGTGACTTCTCTTTCCGTCTGTCTCTCCTCTCTCATTGCTCTCATCTCTGTATTCAGTCGCGCTGTTTAAACAGATTTGATTGGCTGAGCAGCATCACGTGGGATGGCTTAACTAGCATGCGATTGGTCTGTGAGCTTCCTGATCTGCTAAACAAATACCGTAAAGACTAAAAAAGCTGTGCTGGTTAAAATAGAAGCTCCCCATCAAAATTTAGAATCCTCAATAATGAATTGATTATAGGTCTGGGTCCGCATAGGACGGTGTCTGGGTCCAGACTCGCCTGTTAGCGACCTCTGCCCTAGAAAGTTCATGAAGATCTTCCTGGCACTCTACTTCAGACCAAAGCAATGGATCAGGCTAGATTCGCGTTGGCCCCACCCACTGAGTTTGATGGGTGGCTTTGACAGTTTTAAGTAATTCATGAAGCACTGCAACGCAGGACCATGAAATGTAAATGTTAATAGTGAAATAATTATATATGTATTTTACATTAAATGAATCGGTATTTGAATTAATTAATGACACATTTAATATCACATTTATGTATTTAATTCCAATTTTAATTAATTAATGACATATTTAAGTAATTATTTAATGGTGTATTTATTTATTTAATTGTGGCACTTTCAGTCCTCCATACACTTTTGCTGGCGCCCCACTTGCAATGGACTTGAAATCTGCTAGTTATACTGAATCCTCACAAATGGACTGAAACAAATGAGGACTTTATGTATATGTATGCTGATGTGTGTTGTGGTGCTGGAGTGTATTCTGTTATAATTGCAGAGTGGGGTAGTGTTATTAGAGTAGCGTGGCTCCTTTAAGGGGTAGAGCAGTGTGCATGTGTGGAGATAACGTGTGTGGCAGAGCGAGAGCAAGCGAGCGGGAGTGTGCGAGCGGGAGTGTGTGAACGAGTGCGACGGTGAATGGCAGCAACAGCGAGAGACTGGTTAGCAAAAGCTATTAGAGAGTTTAGCAGTGAATGTACAGTTTATGTCACAGTTGTCGGTGAATAAAGGCTGTCACTCCTCAAGGACAAAGTGGAGCCTCCGTGTGAGTTGTTTGCCAACTGCTGGAGATAAAGTGAAGGGGGTTAGCCCCGAAGTTAGCCTCAAGTTAGCCTGGAGGAAACTCTCCCCTGTGCTTCCCGACTACGGTCTGGGAGCCGAACAGGAATGGTTAACACAGTGTTATACAAAATATGCAGAGTTAAGAATCAAAAGCACAAAGTTTTTTATCTTGGAGATGTATTTGATATATATCAAATGTATTATACAAATAAGCCCCTCCCTTACAAACTGCCAATGCAAATCCAGAGCTTTCAGAGGGTTTACTTCTGCAGCATCTGAGTTCACATCTTCAGTCTCAAGATGATGGACAAACTGTCTGTACTGCTGACAGCACTCTGTCTGCCCTGTATGTTGCTTCATGCTGCAATACTGATCAGAGAATGCACACATTTAATGTTCTGCTGTTTATTTCTCTCTCGTTCTCACTTGTGTCCTTTAACATCTGTTTCTTTGGCAGGTTTGAATGTCCAGGGATTCGACAGCCACAGTCATCCAAGTGAGCATAAAAGCTTTACAAAAACCTCAAACAACTTATCTTCCCAGTCACCAAAAGGGGGCAGCAGGAGATCTTAAAACCAGTGTGGCATTGTACCTACACATAGAGAGAAACAAACACAATGTGAAAGCACCAGCTGAGGCTATGGTTTGTCACTTCCTCTTTTTTATGGTTTCATGTGCTTATCTACCACAATGTACTTGTTAATAATATTCCCATCTTTTATTCTGTAAGGCAGGAGTGAAACAATTTCTCTTATATTTCAATAATTAAAGGTCCCATATTGTGGAAAGTGAGATTTCCATTTCTTGTGTGATTATAAAGCAGGTAGGTGCTGTATAAATACTGTGAAAGTATCAAAAAGCTCATTCCACAGAGAAATGCACACAGCCAGTATTCAGAAACTGTGCCTTTAAACAAACTGTCAGAACTTCCATAAGGTTGTGATTGAACTATACAGTCGCCACCATCAGCCATGCTCCCAGTGAGTGAGTATGTGTTGGACAGTTACTGCCTGATGGACAGAGAATTAAATAACATGAGAATTTAAGGCACTAAATACAGATAACACATAGAGTCACATCACAGATCATAAATGGAATTTTCTTGTTTTATGTTCTAGTCCTCTACTTAACATTAATACATTTTTTTAATTGTGCCATCATATATTATTCGTTTCTCAGAGACAGTTTCTGGTTTTAGTTTGTGTTGTTGAAAAATGATTCAAAAAACAAAAAGACTTTCAACTTTTGAAGACCACCAAATAAAACAAGTATTACATTCATATTTGTCTGCATCATATTTATTTGGCTGATGTCACAACTCCTCCATTATCGTTTCTCAAGTGCAACAAACTAAAGACCAAACTCTGTCCTCCCTGTGAGGACGAGTCAATGTAGAACGTAGTTTTTTTCAACCTTTAATAATCTGACTGCAGACAGTGACAAAGCTTTTAGTTTTTACTGCAACTTTTGTTTTACTCAAGATAACAGAGTTTATATGTCTGAGTGGACAATTTATTTCTATTGACTGAAAACGGTTCTCAGCAGTTTTCTTAACTTTTATTCCGAATGGGGTTTTAATCTGTTAAAGTGTTATATTTCTGTCAAAATGTAATTAATCGATTGATTGTTTCACGAAACAGTAACTGAGATCCAAGTCAAATCCAGTTCCACACTGTGAGGAGGAGTCAATGCAAAACTCAGATGTCTTCCACCTCTACTTATCTGACTGCAGAGAGGATGACAGAGAACAGTGGAAACACAGTTTAACATGATGGACTATAGGACAGGACTGCTGCTGTTAACTATCTGCTGGGCAGGTGAAGATTTTATCTGACCTTAATTTTACGTTACTTTTATTTTTATCATCAGTTTCTTTTAGTTGATGTTTTTTTATCCTCTTGACAGGTGTTGATGGTCAGACTCTGACAGAATCTGAACCAGTGGTTAAAAGGCCTGGAGAATCTCACAGATTGACCTGTACAGCCTCTGGATTCACATTCAGCAGCTATCATATGAACTGGGTCAGACAGGCTCCTGGAAAAGGACTGGAGTGGATCGCTTTCATACATACAGGCAGTTCTCACATCTATTACTCCCAGTCAGTCCAGGGTAGATTCACCATCTCCAGAGATGACTCCAGCAGTAAACTCTATCTACAGATGAACAGTCTGAAGACCGAGGACACAGCAGTGTATTACTGTGCCAGATGAGACACAGTGAGAGACAATAACAGAAGAGTCATACAAAAACTACTTCCTCTATTTACAACCACTGAGAACATTGACTTTCTACAGTATCACCGATCTTAACATTAATAGTTTCAAGGTTTATTTTATTGTCATTGTAAAATACACAATTGCACAATTAAAAGCAATTTAATGAAATTAATAAAAAAATAAAATACAACATAGTTTAAGACTAAATTATATTTACAAGGAAGATATACAGTTTCACACACACAATATATATATGTAAGTAAGTAAAGTGTTATTTATAAAGCACTTTACAGTTACAAAGTTTTTCACAAAACAACAACAAATAAAAATTTGTAAAATGAAAAGTTTACATAAATTAAGCACAATAAGAGAGAGACCAAACTAAAACACACCAAAACAAAGACAAGGCAGGAGATCTATAAATAGATTAATTTCAGCGAGTGGGGAAGATGATTCCAGAGGGCTGGAGCTAACACAGCAGTCATCTTTTATTTTGCAGTTGGAATGGGGGATGGATTAAGGGGCAAGATTTGAAGATCGGAGTGGTTGGAAAGTGGAATGAGGGACAGACTATGATGCATGAAATGATGTTCTTATATCATGACACAAATGTGAACTTAGAGGACCAAAGTGTGGGATTTATTTGGATCTAAGGGAAGGAAAACAATTATTTTTATTTTCAGGTGATTATAAACTAATGAAAACACACCTATGAATATTATATTCCATTTCAGCCAATAGATCCTCCTAAATGTTAAACGCTGGACCCAAGCTAAGTTTTGTTGGGAGGTTGAGCACAGTACACTGCTCTGTTCAACAAGTGAGGATCAATTACAAAAATGTCCAACACAGCTCTCTCCTCCCTGTGAGGAGGAGTCAATGCAAAACTCAGATGTCTTCCACCTCTACTTATCTGACTGCAGAGAGGATGACAGAGAACAGTGGACACACAGTTTAACATGATGGACTATAGGACAGGACTGCTGCTGTTAACTATCTGCTGGGCAGGTGAACATCTTCACTGATCTTGATTTGACATATTTTCATTTGTGTTGCCAATGTAACACATAACATGAATATCTTTCTTGGTTTAACAGGTGTTGATGGTCAGACTCTGACAGAATCTGAACCAGTGGTTAAAAGGCCTGGAGAATCTCACAGATTGACCTGTACAGCCTCTGGATTCACATTCAGCAGCTACCCTATGGCCTGGGTCAGACAGGCTCCTGGAAAAGGACTGGAGTGGATTGCCTGGAATGATAACGGTGGTAGCAGCAAATTCTACTCTCAGTCAGTTCAAGGCCGGTTTACCATCTCCAGAGACAACAGCAGACAGCAGGTGTATCTGCAGATGAACAGTCTGAAGACTGAAGATTCCGCTGTTTATTATTGTGCTCGAGACTCACAGTGACTGGAGTTGGTTGAGTAGCTGTACAAAATCGTTGTGACAGTTGATCCTTCTTTTATAGGCTGTCAGTGTCCTTCTCTATGCAAAGTGAACTTCCTCACAGTCTGGTATAAAGACTTGATATCATGCTGTCAGTTGCAGCAGAAGAAGAGAAGCTCCCATCAGATCACCTTCAATACCAACCATGTTCTCTGTAGCTCTGCTGCTGCTGCTGGCTGCTGGATCCTGTGAGTCTCACTGAGGCAGAGACACTGACAGTATGATCACAGCACACTGACTGTTCACTGTTATCACACTGATTCAATATTCAACATGTTTTCCTCCACAGGTGTAAAGTGTGAACAGTTGACACAGCCAGCCTCTGTGACTGTGCAGCCAGGTCAACGTCTGACCATCACCTGTCAGGTCTCTTATTCTCTGGGCAGCTATTGCACAGCTTGGATCAGACAGCCTGCAGGGAAAGGACTGGAGTGGATTGGAAGGGCAGCTGTTGGTTACACAACATATTACAAAGATTCACTGAAGAACAAGTTCAGCATCACCTTAGACTCTTCCAGTAACACAGTGACTCTAAACGGACAGAATGTGCAGCCTGAAGACTCTGCTGTGTATTACTGTGCCAGAGAGACACAATAACACAAACCATCAGTAGACCTGAACAAAAACCCCTCAGTGCCTGAACACTTGTAACATGAAGCCACCAGAGGAGGAGTCCTCAGACCACTAATGATTTCAACACAGTTCACTGTTAGAGTGAAGACAGAAACACACTTCAGACTTCATGAAAATGTTCTTAATTACACAAAAACAACAGATTTCATCATTTTAAATACTATTCAATATTAAATATAAAAATGTTCAAGTAATGCAATACATTTATCTGACAACTTTGCTTTTCATACTCGTCATCTGACAAGAGTCTCTGAAAAAAAAAAAATCATTATCACAATTAAAGCTGCATCATGAAGTGAGTCAGGAGTCTTTACACAACTTCATGGAGATGTTAATTAGTCAAACTGGAATCAATAGTGAGTTCATCAGCAATCTGTAGTGTGTTTGTCAGAGATGAAGAAAAGAGAAGAAGTTTCACCTTCTGTCTGCATGAATGAGGACAAATTCCTAAAGTTTTCATACTAATTTTGACTTATTTAAATACACGTTAGTCAGCTGCAGTTGGACAGAGAATCAAATAACATGAGAATTTAAGTGTCAAATTAAATTATTTAAAGTCATATCACAGATAAAAAAATTGAATTTTCTTGCTCTATGTTCGTGTCCTCTACTTTACTTGAATGCATTTTTTAAAAGGTGCCATATTTTAGATGTCCTTTTTCATAGACAATCTTTGATTTTAGATCATATAATATAAAAATCTAAAGAAAAAAAAACATGTCACCTGATGTTTTCAGTCAGGATTTTGTCTCATGATAATTCAGTTGTGAATATGTTTAATAATGTTTGTTGGAGGATACTCTGATAAACCTTAAACACAACATTCAACATTTGAAGACATTTCAAATAAAACAAGTATTACATTCAGATTTGCCTGAATCAAATTTATTTGGCTGATGTCACAACTCCTACATTATCGTTTCTCAAGTGCAACAAACTAAAGACCAAACTCTGTCCTCACTGTGAGGACGAGTCAATGCAGAACATAGTTGTCTTCCACCTTCAATAATCTGACAGCATACAGTGACAAAGCTTTTAGTTTTTACTGCAACTTTTGTTTTACACGAGGTAACAGAGTTTATACGTCTGAGTGGACAATTTATTTCTATTGACTGAAAACTGTTCTCAGCAGTTTTAAAAAAAGAAATAAAAACAAAATAAAAATAATTGAAAAAGTGAAAGAAATACAACATGGTTCATTATAATATAGAAACATAATATCTAACATACAGCGGATTTTACAAAACATGTCCTCTCAGTCTGCCTCAAAATTATAAATTATGGAATTAGTTACATGTTATTCCTGTATTTAATGCTAATTAATATTCTTAAATGTATTATCACTATTATTGATACCCAGGTTTTGCACAAATTATATTTAAACATGCAAGAGGGACTCTTGGAGGAATGACTAATGTACAGTAAACATTCATTCTGCAGTTTCACCAAACATCAACTGAGATCCAAGTCAAATCCAGTTCCACACTGTGAGGAGGAGTCAATGCAAAACTCAGATGTCTTCCACCTCTACTTATCTGACTGCAGAGAGGATGACAGAGAACAGTGGACACACAGTTTAACATGATGGACTATAGGACAGGACTGCTGCTGTTAACTATCTGCTGGGCAGGTGAACATCTTCACTGATGTTGATTTGACATATTTCCATTTTTACTATCAATGTAACACATAACATGAATACCTTTCTTGATTTGACAGGTGTTGATGGTCAGACTCTGACAGAATCTGAACCAGTGGTTAAAAGGCCTGGAGAATCTCACAGATTGACCTGTACAGCCTCTGGATTGACATTCAGTAGCTACTATATGCATTGGATTAGACAGGCTCCTGGAAAAGGACTGGAGTGGGTTGCCTGGATTGAGAGTGGTAGTGGTAGCAGCAAACTCTACTCTCAGTCAGTTCAAGGCCGGTTCACCATCTCCAGAGACAACAGCAGACAGCAGGTGTATCTGCAGATGAACAGTCTGAAGACTGAAGATTCTGCTGTTTATTTTTGTGCTCGAGACTCACAGTGACTGCAGTTATTTGAGCAGCTGTACAAAATCCTACAGTACTCATCTTTCAGGCTGCTGGAGCCTTAGCATTTTTTTTTTAGATCAATTGTTCTATATTCTACATGACATTTTATCTTAACATACTGTATATTTTTGTGAATAATAATTATTGTCTATGCATTATACAAAGTCCCCAAAAAATGTTCCTTATATTTTATTTCTAAATATCAAACACATAAAAAACACAATAAAGGTCACTTGTTGATAAAAGACAGCACAACAATCTGCTGAAATATTACAAATACTAAACATTTCTAAAAATAAAGACACAATATAGTAACGTATTGTGAAATATAAAGTCAGTGATGATATGAGAGTGAAAAATAATGTTTAGTCTCTGGTATAAAACCACTGGACGGCAGTCAGTGTCAAGTTTCTCTCTCGTCTTTTTTCTAAAAGGAGACCCTGCACTGTCTCACCTGATTAATGTCCTCCGGTCAAACAATTCAAAATCACACAACACACCACACAATGATACAATTACTGATTTATGACTGGATTTAAATTCACAATTCATGACAAATTGTTGTTGACAAATTTAGTTATTTAGGGATGAAAGGTAGCTACATCTCTCCATGATTACATATAAACTTGTGCCTGTCCCATGTTACAAATTCTCAAGATTCTGTTTAATTTTTATTTTATTTGGAAATAATAAGATAAGATATTCCTTTATTTGTCCCACAATGGGGAAATTCCAATGTTACAGCAGCAAAGTGGATAGAGAAAAAACGGTATAAAAAATAGTAAGAGTAGGAAATAATAAATAAAAACACTGTACAAGAGAAAAACAGTAAGAATCCATAATAATAATCCATAATGATATTATAACAAGCCAAGAACAAAAAAATCCAAATAAACCACACTGCATGCTGTTCAGGGTTTAGTAGCCATTACTAGAATGCTTGGATCAGAGAGGCTGCTGGAAAAGGACTGGAGTGGGTTGCTACTATCAGTGATAGCAGTAGCACTTACTACTCTGAGTCATTTAAAGGCAGGTTTACCATCTCCAGAGACAACAGCAGACAGCAGGTGTATCTGCAGATGAACAGTCTGAAGACTGAAGATTCCGCTGTTTATTATTGTGCTCGACACCCACAGTGACTGGAGTTGGTTGAGCAGCTGTACAAAATCCTACAGTACTCATCTTTACTTTACTTTAGAAATATTTGCATTTTGCTTCTTTTTTATTTTTAAGAAAACATAACAATCTGTGAGGAAGATCATCCAACAACAATAACAATGTATCACCTAAATAAATACAATGTCTTCCTTTAATGATCACTTCTTCACAAAACAGCCAATGACAGCCAAACAGTCTGCTAAAATCACTGTCCAGGTCTGAATAAAAGAAAGACATGCAGCTACACATTTCAGCCACATTAATGTTTATATCATTTGGCATCTAAAGTAGCTCACAGTATGAGAGTGAAAAATAATGTCACAGTTCCAGTTATAAAGACACTAGAGGGCAGTCTGCATTTTGTCTCACAGGTTTCAGTTCCTGAGCAGCTGTTTTCCTCTCGAGGCTCTAAGTCGTCTTCAAACATCTGCAAACATGGAAACTGTTAAATGTCTTTAAACAAACCTGCAGACAGTTCTCATATTATTTACATGGTCCTCACTGCTGTCACTGTATTTCTGTTTGAAGCAGATACAGTCAGTAAGTACAGTCAGTGAGCAAATTAATGAATAATAAATGCTGCGATATTACAACAGCCATTTTGTTTTTTATTATCCTCATACTGTACGTTTGAAGTTAACAATGAATGTGATGAAGGAGGTGCTGACAGTAAATTAATTCTTTCAGGAAAACAGCTCACGTCATATTCAAAGTGTGTCATCATGGTTATTGCAATGTGGATTTGGATAAATATGTTTACATTATCCATGATTCATGTTAATACTCACATTAAGAATAATTATCCTGGTTATTGTTTGTAATTATAGAAAAAAATGACATAATGTTTTAATAGTAAAGATTTTGACAGTAATAGTTTATAGTCATAGCAAAGGTTACAGTTGTTTCATTTCTGTAACTCTAAATGTAAAATCTAAAAGTTTCATTTTAAAAATGTTACAGTTGAGTGAGTGATAAAGTTAAAATATCATATGTAAAGCAGAGGTGATTTTCAGGCATGTTTTCACTCTGCAGCTATAATAACAGTCAACAGACTCTTCTATTGGCTCCAGTTAGACCAACATTGATGCTTCATATGTTTGATTCTATGCAAACTAAGTGACCTTCCTTGTTACTCAGCTATAAAAACTTCCCATCAGGCTGTCAGTGGAGTTCACAGCACGTCAGTTTCAACATAAACCATGTTCTCTGTAGCTCTGCTGCTGCTGTTGGCAGCTGGATGTGAGTCTCTTTGGATTTGTCAAAGTCAACAGTTCTTCTTTTGCAGTATAACTTGATCATTTGTTACAAAACATTTTCTTTTTTAACAGGTGTGAAGTGTGAACAGTTGACACAGCCAGCCTCTGTGACTGTGCAGCCAGGTCAACGTCTGACCATCACCTGTCAGGTCTCTTATTCTGTTAGCAGCTACTACACAGCTTGGATCAGACAGCCTGCAGGAAAGGACTGGAGTGGATTGGAAGGGCACGTGTTGGATGGAGCACATACTACAAAGATTCACTGAAGAACAAGTTCAGTATCGACTTAGACTCTTCCAGTAACACAGTGACTCTAAATGGACAGAATGTGCAGCCTGAAGACTCTGCTGTGTATTACTGTGCCAGAGAGACACAATAACACAAACCTTCAGTAGACCTGAACAAAAACCCCTCAGTGCCTGAACACTTGTAACATGAAGCCACCAGAGGAGGAGCCCTCAGACAGCTCATGATTTCAACACCAGTTCACTGTTACAGTAAAGAGAGAAACAGACATGATAAAAATTGAAAAAGTGAAAGGAATACAACATGGTTCTTTATAATATAGAATAATAATATCAAACATACAGCGTATTTTACAAAACATGTTTTCTCAGTCTGTCTCAGAAATATAATTTATGGAATCAGTGACATGTTATTCCAGTATTTAATGCTTAATTAATATTCTCAAATGTATTCTCACTATTATTGATACCCAGGTTTTGTCAACCTGTTGCACAAATTATACTGAAACATGCAAGAGGGACTCTTGGAGGAATGACTAATGTACAGTAAACATTCATTCTGCAGTTTCACCAAACATCAACTGAGATCCAAGTCAAATCCAGTTCCACACTGTGAGGAGGAGTCAATGCAAAACTCAGATGTCTTCCACCTCTACTTATCTGACTGCAGAGAGGATGACAGAGAACAGTGGACACACAGTTTAACATGATGGACTATAGGACAGGACTGCTGCTGTTAACTATCTGCTGGGCAGGTGAAAATTTGATCTGATCTTAATTTGAAGTTCTCTTCAAAATGCTTCCAGCTTAAAGCAACTGACCACTGTATATTTGTTTTATCTTGACAGGTGTTGATGGTCAGACTCTGACAGAATCTGAACCAGTGGTTAAAAGGCCTGGAGAATCTCACAGATTGACCTGTACAGCCTCTGGATTCTCATTCAGCAGCTCTTATATGGCCTGGGTCAGACAGGCTCCTGGAAAAGGACTGGAGTGGATTGCTTATATAAGCACAGCTAGTACTCCGATCTATTACTCCCAGTCAGTCCAGGGTAGATTCACCATCTCCAGAGATGACTCCAGCAGTAAACTCTATCTGCAGATGAACAGTCTGAAGACCGAGGACACAGCAGTGTATTACTGTGCCAGAGAGACACAGTGAGAGACAATAACAGGAGAGTCATACAAAAACTACTTCCTCTATTTACAACCACTGAGAAGATTCACTTTCTACAGTATCACAGATCTTAACTGTGATAGTTTCAAGGTTTAATTTAATTGTCATTGTAAAATACAGGATTGCACAATTAAAAGCAATTGAATGGAATTATTTAAAAATAAAGTAGAACAAAGTTTAAGACTAAATTATATTTACAAGGAAGATATACAGTTCACACACACACACACACACACACACACACACACACACACACACACACACACACACAAAGTAGATATAAGTAAGTAAAGTGTTATTTATAAAGCACTTTACAGTTACAATGTTTTTTCACACACAAACAAATAAAAATTAGTAAAATGAAAGGTTAAAATAAAATGGATGGATAAAGGGCCAAGATTTGAAGATTTGAGTGGTCGTATAGTGGAATGAGGGACAGACGGTGATCAGAAGTTTAACTGGAGACAAGGTCATGAAGTGTCTTCTGTGTAATTTTATGGGAAGCCATGCAGTGAAATGTATAGATAGTTTTTAATTAAGCCGTGAGAAATGGCTCTGAGAAAGATCATCATCAACCAACAACAATAACCATCAAACAAAAGTTTTACTGTAATGATCACTTCCTCACAAAACAGCCAATGACAGAACAACAATCTGCTGAAATCACTGAACAAAATAAAATAAATGAATTAAAGAAAGGATATGAACACATGAATGAATACAAACAAATATTATTCACATTTATACATTTCAGCCACATTAATGTTTACATAGTTTGGCATGAGAGTGAAAAATAATGTTGCAGTTCCCATTATAAAAACACTAGATGGCAGTCAGTGTCAAGTTTCTCTCTCCTCTGTCACTATAAGGAGACTCTCATATCTGCTTATCTCACTGATCTCAACTGACTGACACTCAAACCCTGGACTGAACTAGAGTTTTATATTCACACCCTTTGTGAGCTCGCTTCACCACAACACTAATAGAACATTTGACGTGCTGGATCAGCAGTGACTGCAGCTTCATGGTAGATTGACATAAAATAACAATGGAAAGTGTACATACCTGGGAACAGGTTTTTGTATGTAGTGGTTAATAGTTTGTTGAACTGTGACTACGGCTTTGACTACTGGGGAAAAGGCACAATGGTCACCGTCACCTCAGGTATGTAATTTTGATATTTCTGATTAGAGAATACATTTCCTGATCGCATTACTAAAATATATATTATCATTTTCCTGTACCCACAACTGTTGGCCAGTGATAAGACAGGGGACAGTATTTGGTAACCTGAGCACAAATAATTCATCAAAACTTCTAGCTATCTAGTTCAGTTGGAAAGTAAGTTTATCAGCAGGTGTTTTTTTGTTTTTATTTTAATTGTCGCTGCAACCAAACTGTATAACTTGAAGTAATGGGATATTACAGTCATGAGTTTTTGTGAGAAGTGTGAATTGACTCTCTTAACTGTGACAACTGGGCTTTCGACTACTGGGGAAAAGGCACTATGGTAACAGTGTCATCAGGTAAGATTTGTACCATTTAAAGTACGGCAGAGTATGTTTCAGACTGTAAATGTCATATTTAAGTGATTCTGTAAGTCAAGTGTCCCTTCAAAAGTAAAGTTTTAATACAGTGTGTACTGTACAAAGTCAAACAGCAAATATTCTCAGTAGATTCAACGGTGGATATTTTTATGATTAGAGTATTTTGAGTCAGTTAAGTGGATTTTATAGTGGTGGGAATAATTAAATGTTAATGTAGACTTTTTGCGCTCAGCATTAGTAGACGTAGACTTTTTATACTAACAACTAAGTAGATTCAGCACTGTGCTACTACAATGCTTTTGACTACTGGGGAAAGGGTACAACGGTAACTGTTTCATCAGGTAAGAATACTCTTCAACCTCAAACACAGTTGCTGAATTTGACCAAAAGTAATTCTTTATGGATGTTTACTGACTTTACATCTTAATTCCTTCAATTTAAAAATTTGCTTATGATTATTGTCAAAGTTGTCCATTTAAAGCATTTCACCTATTTGTATTTAGAATTATAAAAAAACTACTTAAAAAAATATAATAGAGGAAGGTTAACCTTAGTGCAACAAACAACATCTAAATAAATAACATAAGAAAACAAAGGTCTTTGTATGGAGGGCACTTGAAATTTTCATATTCAACATTTTAAGAGGTAATGCCTTCAGTGCTGTGTTTTGTTACACTATTAAACTGTTGAACTTTAGTTTTATTTTATTATATTTATTATATTATTATATTACACGTTTGTTTTTGCTTTTTTAGGCACTCCAATCAAACCAACTGTGTTTCCTCTGATGCAATGTGGTTCGGGGAGTGGAGACACGGTCACTCTTGGCTGTCTTGCCACCGGTTTCACACCCTCCTCACTGACCTATTCATGGACCAAAGGTGGGACTCCATTGACGGACTTCATTCAGTACCCTGCAGTACAGAAAAACAACGTTTATACGGGGGTCAGTCAAATCCAAGTGAGCAGACAGGACTTGGACGCAAGGCAGACTTTCCAATGTGCCGTGACACATGCAGCGGGAAACGCACAGACTGGTATCGTATCGACGATAATAGGTAAGGACTATGCGAAGTGATTTTGAAATGCCTTTTTAGTAGTTGATTTGAATCTAGGATGTTTACATGGTGGAGCAGTTAACATATTTTATAATTGTGCAACAATTTTAAGGTTTTTAAACTATATGTATTAAAGAAAAGTTAATGGTAACGATAACTGATAAATAATTGAATACATAATTGGCCGTCAATTGCCAGTACCAGTATACAATACCCTTAAAGAAAGCTTTACATTTTACAGTGTAAACATTGTACTGCAAGTCTGCTACTAGTATTTACGGTGGACAAGGATAAGAACAGCTTCAATTATAAAATATCTTGTTGTAATAATTTAACAGTAATTGTATTCATATGGCACAATTCATGCAATGCATGAGGTTAAAAAAACTGTATGCAAAAAACAGGGCCAAAATCATAATTTAAAAATAATAAAATACAGTCATAAATAAGTGTTATTTATGTATTACATCAACAAAAAGTTAATCTCTATTACTTGGTTTTGTAGATTTTTCAGATAAATTTTATTAAAGGCAGACTTGATAAAATAACCTATGGAAAGTGTAGATATCTGGGAACAGGTTTATGCATGCAGTGGTTAATAGTTTTTTTAACTGTGATTACACTTTTTGATGACTGGGGGGAAGATACTATGGTCACCGTTCAATCGACACATGCAGCGGGAAACGCACAGGCTGATTTCAGGAAGCCAAGTAAGGCTCATGCTAAGTGATTTATAAATGCCTTTTCAGTAGCTGATTGGAATCTAGCATGTTTACATGGTGGAGCAGCTTTGTAAATGTATTTCGAGCTGCCACTGACACAGCTTAACTAAATATAAAAGAGAGCAATAATTGGTTTAACTGTTTTAGAAACAAATATACTCCAATCTGTCTTTTCGAAGCTATACATAAACAGAGGAGAACATAAAAATACAACTCTTACCAAATTAAATAGTGTGTCAAATCCTTAAATATTTGTAGTTTTATTATTAGTCGGCCTTGCGGGCAAACCTACGGAGCCCCTCTGATGACATGGTCAAAAAAAAAAATGAAATTGTGGCCATATTATAGCTATAACGTGGCCACGAAATAGATATAACGTGCGCACGAAATACTAATTAATAATATTAATATCATTCCTAGACAGCTGGGTAAGCAAATCGAGCGCACCTTCTCTAGAAGCTACAATAGCCTACGGAGCCCCGTACCTACGTGATGTCCCTAAGGTGAGGGTTATTCTGTTCTAGTCAGTATCTTGTTATCTCGCATTTAGGCAGTTATTTATTTAGGCCTATGTTTGATACTTTGTTATAACGGGTAGCCTATCTGCTGACGTCTCACCCGACTTACAAACTTCTTATCCTCAACCTGTTACTACACGTTACACGTTGTTTTGTTGTGCTAATATGTAGACTAATTAAACTCATTTGTGCCTGTAGGAGCTGCAGCCCTGCACACACATCAGGACACTTTTAAAGTAGAGCTGAGGGGTGTAGGCATACTACCAAGCGAGGTATGTTGAGCATAAAACCAGAGTTTTCTGTGTCACGAAGGTGTCTCTCTTTTAACCTGGCTAGATCACCATGCTAACTTATGCTGCAGACCTAACCTGGTCCGGACCAAATTCTGTTCACAGTGAAATCAGTTTAAAAAGTGCCTTTTTCACTGATCATCTCCTTTGAAAGTAGTATCATGTGTGTCAGACTCTCAGCTGAGGGAATACATAGGCTATATGAACCGCAGCGTTTAATGATGCCACCGGACGAAGCTGTGCAGTTACAGTAGCGCTCACTGTATGTATCACGTTGCCAAGGGAACCTGTAGCCTATCAGTGATCAGAATCTAGTTTGTATTGATTTGCAGATTGTTGTTGCTCTGACTGAACTACTGAATGTGTCTGTAGTGTTCTCTGGACATTTGTCCTTCAATAAAATCACAGAAGATTAAAAGTTCACTGTATTATTGATCAGTCTGACGTTTACCTGCAGATGAAATGTGCTATATTTCCTTTAAACCATTATGTTAACACTTTGATGATGTTTTTACGCTTGGTCCTGATTTGCTGAAGTCGTTTTACACTGCTGGTATATTACAGCTGATAGAACCCTGATTAGAAAATTGCTCCAGCCTTTATTACCACAGATAATATCTGATCAATAAAAATCATTCCACTTTGATTTGCCAAAGACTAAAGTGATTTCATAGGACAGTGTCAGAGCTTGAGCATAATGTTTAAATCAGCTGCATCAAGTTTAAAGTTTCAGAGCTCTACAATGTGCAGCTGTCACCAGAAATATGGGAGGCATTGAGAGTAAATAAATATATTAATTTACACTGTAATACAGTGACTGTATTTGCAGCAATGGTGTTGCTTTTTGCAACATAATAATAATAATAGCAGGGACATGGGGCAATATGTGATTTGGAATCATAGATCCAGAATCTGGAAAATCTACTACTTGTTAATTAATTTTGTTTTCCTGTGGTTTAGAAGTCAACTATGGATACTCGGTTGCGAGAATTTTTCATCGAGCGCAAACTTGAAGAAGATGTGATCCAGAAACTTGAAGATGGGAATGTAAGCCACTGCAGCTGCTGTCTGTGCTTGCCTGGTGTGTGTGTGTGTGTGTGTGTGTGTGTGTGTATTATGTATTTTTTTCCAAACAGAAGATTATTATTTACTGAAAGTTTGTATAGAACACGTCACACCAGAACAGATAGGCCCAATGCACAAATTCAGATGCACACTTAAAAAATGTTATATGTTTTAATTTTGAATCTAATCAAATACATCAACTGTGTTTACAGAATAATTTAAAATAATTCTTGGTCATCTTAAGTTGGGAAAATATGTGCATCATTACCAAAACTAAATGTTATCAAAAGTAGGCTGCATAAAATGAAAAACTAATGATGTGAGTAACTACACCCTTATACCACCAATATAGCTATATTCTTAACTTCCTTTAGATATCCATTGGCATTCTATGTTATGCATTTGTATGTATTAATTAATTTTTTTATTGACTAATTCATTTATTTATCTTTTTATTTTTTTCAGATTGATGAAACTGTCATTCCGTTAATGACAGACAGTGACGAGGCATCTCTCTATTGACAAAGACGAAACAGTGGCAAATATCAAACTTATGGCTGAAAATCTTTTTTTCCCCAAAGGCCTTTCAAAAAAAAACAAAAGTCTTTCACACTGTTCAACTCATATTGAGAGCTCACAGATACATGTTGATGTGTCCAATACAGTAGACGAGTTGTATAATCTAAGCAAGGTCAAAATTCTGCGACTTTATCTGTGCACCAAAAAGAAAACAGGACAGCAGCCCTCAGGAGTGGATTGTGATCACGCAATAAGCCAGCCCTCAGTGGTAGATCTCACTAACAATGAACAGAATCAGGCCGGTGAGGATCTGTTGGTGGAAAACAGAAATTCAGAATCACCAAACCACTGTGGAATTAATGATGGAGCTTCCAGAAGTGGATATTTGGAACTGAGTGACACATTACCATGGGATGGTCTGCTAACTGTGGGCGTAAGCGAAGATTCTGATGTAGTTTTTATTATAAGTGGGGATGACAGGCTGGATGTAAGTGTGGATAAACCAAACCTTGAAACACTCTTTCCAGAAAAAGAGGATGATGCAACTCATCAAACAGTGGATCTGTCACCGGTGCTTGCAGGGGAGGCCAATGTTCCAGACCAAACACTTCCTGAACCACAATCTTGTCCTGTAACGCCGATTGTAAGAAGAGGTCACTGTCTCACTGACTTGATCAGTGCCTTCAAGGACCCAAACATTATTGCATCTGAGGTCAACATCAAAATGCGTTTACCAAATGGAGAGCTTGAACAGGGGGAAGGAAGTGGTGTTTTGCTAGACTGCCTGACAGAATTTTGGATGGATTTCTATGACAGCTGCACACTGGGAGTTGAAGTGAAAGTCCCTTCATCACTTTCAGTGTGAAGAATGGCAGGCTGTAGCTAGAGTGTTTGTAGTAAGGTGGAAACAAGCTGGTTACTTCCCAGTGAAGCTTGCAATACCATTTCTGGAAGAGGTGCTGTATGGCTCGACAACCAGTAGTTTCAAGGATTCCTTTTTGCTGTATGTATCACAAGAAGAAAGATCTGTCCTCCTGAAGGCTTTGGAGGACTTCAATTCAGTGGACACAGATGAATTGCTGGATGTACTCGATGCACATGAATGCAAGCAAGTCCCTACCAAGGTCCCCTGTTTTGGCACAGATTGGACACAAAGTAATAGTTCAGGCAATGTTTGTAATTAAGTGCTGGCGTCCTGTTGTGTGTTCTGTAGCTGGTTTACTACCACCAGAAGGACTGCATCATTTCATTGCACAAAAAAAACCAACTGCAAAAACAGTGAAGGAGCTTCTAAACTTTCCAGAGGAGATGACAGCAGCCCAGTCAACAGTTTCTCGTTACCTGAAAAGGTACATTGGGGAAATTGATTTCAACAATCTTCAGCTTTTCCTGCGGTTCTGTACAGGATCTGATCTCTTGGATAAGGCCATACTAATTGAGTTCATAGAAACCACAGATTCTCTCCACAGACCACAATCATACACATGTGGATGTGTACTAAAGTTACCCATTGGTTACTACAGCTATCCAGATTTTCGCAGCGAATTTAACAGCATTCTCACAGGCTCAATGTGGGTAATGGATGTGGTGTAGGTAACAATACAAACAATAACATGAAGGATGTGACAGCTCCTTGCTAGACTGGATGGTTTTGTTATCTTAACTATGTAGCCCGTTGTGCCTTTTGTATGTGCAGCATTTTATTTCATCTGCTTTTAAAGTGGTTGCTTTGTTCTTTCCCAATCAAATGGTAAGCTTAAAGGGATAGTTTTGGTACGTGTGCTTAGTCAGTGTATTACCTGTAGTAGACAGCACTCAGCACTCTCCGAGTTTGCAGAAGCAGAGGGGAGTGCTGGGACAGAAGCAGAGCAATACATTGCTGGGTACGGGGACAGCAACACAGCAACAAACATATTTTAGTCACCTAAAAGAAGTCCCACCTCAAAAGAATACACCAGGTTACCTGTACACTATATTAGGAATATTTTCAGTGCTTCACCTGGTGGGAAGACTGACGTTTCCTTTGACACTAACCATAGAACTCCCATATGCCTACGCCTAAAGTGCATCTGTGCTTGCTGCACACTGTATTACTCCGGTTAGTGCCAAAAGAAACGACTACTTTATGAGCAGGCGAAGAGCTGAATATATTCCAAATACAGCGTACAGTTACAGTTCTACAAACTGGGAGAGTGCTGAGCGCTGTCTACTGCAGGTACACTGACTAGGCATAAGTACAGCTCCACTTCAAATACCAAAATCCAATTGATTAAGCATGTTTTATATTATTACAGTTGTTTGTAGCAGCCCCAGTAGAAACAAGAATGTGAGTCTTGGCTGATGTTTCAAAGGTGTTTAAAAATAAATTAGTCCTTTACAGAAGTTGTTTACACTTTAAAGAAGTTTGAATAACTTTATTTTGTAACTTTCAGTATGATGCTGGCTAACAGGAGGTTTGAAAACTGTTCTTATCCTGTTATTATGTACAAAATACAACCTGTTCTGTTTTTGACTATGGTGTATTTTGAAAAAGACCAGTAAACCATTCAAGTTTGTACAAAATGTTGATGTCCTCTCTGTTACATTCTATACATCTTTACATTTTAACATGTCTAATGACACCACCCATAGTTATTTTACGCCTCACTCTCTAGTGTTATAAATGTGCTGTGATTTGTTATGAAAGACAGTTCTTTATCAAACATTGGATTGTTTTAATCTCCTCCACAAAAACAAAAAAACAGAGGCTCAGGAAACATAGAGAGCATTGATGATACAACCATTATAATAATACACTACACAGTAGCCTACTTGGTCTTCTTGTCTAATTGATCATAACATTAGATTTATGATATCATTGCCAGTCTGTGTGGGTGCTGTCCAGGGTGATATTGTCCTTGTTAGAGATGGATACATTTCTTTGACAAGTTTAATATTAATTGGAGGATAACCTCTAGCCCAAAAAGATTAATTGTGTCTAACTTGTGCAACTATTTGAGTCAAACAGTTCTTATTTTCTAGCTAACAATAGCTATCGATACTTAATGATGAGTTAATTTACTGATCGCTAAAACTGAAAACAGTAAGTTATACAGTCTTTTCTGATTATTTTGGTTTAAACAAAGACACAAGATAACCACACAAACATGAAAAGTAATGTGTACATTATGCTGTAAAAACATGTGCTAAAGTACCAAATATACTACACGATTTGTATGCTTGTGTCCATTTAAATAGCCTCAAATAACCGGACAAACCGTGTCCCTCAGATGAAAATACAAAACAAGTGCCTGGGACATGGTAGATGGGAACTCCAAGCTTGATTCAAGCTTGGTTCAGTCCCACATCACATGGGACTGAACTGACAAATGTGCAGCTGTCTTTACATGTGGTCAAATCTTCAGTCAGTGGAACAAGACAGTCTTCTGCACCCCAAAGGTGAGGGGCCATGTACATGACATCAGGTATCCCACTTGGCACGTTGGTGTTCTTGGAGGGCCTTATACGGTGAGCATTCCAAACACCCCGGATGTCATTTAATACCTCCTGTTGGAGCAACAAGAGCAATTAAGTCACAGCTGGCATACAGTGCATTTTTAAACAGTGATTAGGGCCTATAATAAGTGAAATATAGTCCTCTTTATTCTCTGCCTTTGCAGTGGGTAAGGAAAAACTAAAGTTTGTGTTAAGCAAATAAAAGTAGCTTAAATTACACTGTGATGTGTCTTATTTCCACAACAGTCTAAAGAATCAATACATCACACACATTACATAAACTCAGTGGCTTAAATCTCTAAGATTACATGAAGGTAATGTAGAGTTGATGGTACAGTTTCTGGGTTTCTTGCTGTGATCATAATATAAGCTATTTACCTGAATGATTGGCATGAAACAGAACTGTGACAGAGCTTTGTCAATGAAATCCCCAGCGAAGAATCCCTCATCCTTCAGTTCTGCGAGAAGCGTGATCCAGGGTTCGATTCCTTCTTTTCTCATCACTCCCCACCAGCTCTCAATTCTCTGGTTCGCGGTACTTGCTCCTGTGATGTAGCTTCTCTCCATGACGTCATCCACGTCATTTCTCCGTAAATACCGCTGAAGGTCTCTGACCACCACGTTCTCAGTGCCCCTGTCAGTTCGTACGAGCCTGGGGCAGCCCCCACGGCGTTCCACTGCTTCCACAAAGTACCCCCGATAACTTTCGGGTCGCTGTTAGTCAGGGCGGCCCGCAGCCAAATGATGTTGCGTGAGAACCCGTCGATGCAGCCATTAATGCATATCCCATATGGCTTCAGTTTGTCATATGAGTCTATGTGCCACACAAAGTTAGGTCCCTGAGCAAAATATTTCCTCCTTCGGAGACGTCTGCTCTGGTGAACTTGGGAACCGACGGGGTCCAGTAAAGAGAGGAGAATCCTGACGTCTTCTTTTCTGATAGAAATACCGTGTTGTTTACACTTTGTAAACATCCACCGGTAGCCGTGATCCTTTCCAGGGCCCTGCAGTTGGTCAACAATGAAATCTATCCCGGCGTCCAAGTCGTACCCTCGCCGGTGAAGCAACCCGGCTCTCAATATCCTGTGTAAATGTCTCTCGGTAATGATGGTTCCTTGCAATGCCAGGCTTTTCAGAATGTCTTTGTAGCTCATTCCCAGCCTAAAATAAAGTTCTATCATACTGTCCCTGTCCATCGTGTAGCTTTAGCCCCTCTAATGCCTCTACCTTAGACCTTAGAGAAGGTGCGCTCGATTTGCTTACCCAGCTGTCCAGGAAAGATATTAATATTATTAATTAGTATTTCGTGCGCACGTTATATCTATAATGTGGCCACAATTTAAATTTTTTTTTGACCATGTCATCAGAGGGGCTCCGTACAAACCAAACAGTGAGGTGGAATGAGAAGGCTGAGCCTTTCATGTATATTCAGCTGCTGAGTCTAATTTATTCTTTACTAATATACTGTATGTCCTCTGCACCTGTCTAAGAACTGATTATTGCTATGTGTTCTGCTTCTTTCACCATACAGTTTCCATCTATCTGCATACCAGGGATTATGCAGGTACAGGGCTCCAGACTAACTTTTTGCATTGGTTGCACTGGTGCGCCTAACTTTTTTTTTTAGGTGCACCATCACAAAATTTAGGTGCACCCAAATTTTTCATTGCGTCGCCTTTAACGCCGTAAGGTCACCTTTTTATTGCTCTCCATAACTTTCATATAATGTGAATGATTTTTAAACAGGAATAAGGTATAGAGAAATGCTTGTCTTTATTTGAAGCACAATTATATATAAAAAGAAAAATAAAGTGTTTAAAGTGCTTCACCGAACTGAAATTGAACATTTCAAACTCAAACATTTCAAGTAAAATAAAACATTTCAAAATAAAAAGTGCTACTTTTTAAAGAGCTTGACTGAACTGAGACCTAAAATCATGTCTAAAAATCTTATAGCAGGTCTCCCCTTGCTGTCACATGCCCCTCAGTTCCGAGTCTGATGCTGTCGCCGAAGGACCCGGGCTTGGTATCTCATCAGGGACCGAGGGCTCCGTGTCTTGACGGGATGGACTCTCAGTAGTGGGATGGATGGGATTATAGTAGTAGGGCTGGTTGTAGGCTTGGTTTTCTTAATGAAAAAACTTTCAATATTTCTCTTCATTTTCCCTCGTTTTGTCGCGTTTATTTTATTTTTACGTTTCAGTTAGTCAGCTACTCTCGCACTCAGGTCGCTTAGCGCGGTGAACAGGACCACAGCCAATCAGAGGCAAAGACCCGCCCGAGCTCTGTCTCTTATTGGTTTAGAACACGATATGATCCTACCATGAGTGTGTGAGTTCGGTCACAGGCAGGGGTATATGGTGCGTTCGTTTTGTACGGAATATTCAGATATCAAACTGTGTGATATGATTAATATGTAATGAACATGTGAAATCCACGGTGGGTGCACCGTAAACCAGATAATCACTATAAACGTTACGAAACGTCCAAACTGCCTATTGCAACCAAGCTCGTCGTGTTGTGTGCCAAACAGAACGCAAAAACCCACGGTTACTCGTTTCCAAACACGGATGTGACGTCGCTCTCGAGCTGCAAGTCGTGATTACAAGTCAAAACGAACGCACCAATAGTATACAGTATAGGGGGGAAAAGTTAGGACAATTCCAAGGGCCCATGACTGACAGGGGCCCCAAAAAATAGGTAAAAACTAATATAAAATTATTAAACCATCATCATTCAGTATATATATTTCAAATATAATAATAAAATTAATGATCTCTTTGTTTTTACTTGTTTTTGGCAGTAAAAGTTAAATATTCCCATTGACCAAAAAGTAAACATCCATATTGACCGACCACCCCCCTGTATCTGCATGAAATGGTTTCCTGCCTTAGCGCACTTATCAGTGACGTGTTTAGTTGCAGTCAGTAGATGCGCCAGAACTACAGTGATCACAATGTTAACTAGTAAATCAAAATCAGGTTTTCAAAAAAGGAAAGAGAGAAAAGAGAGAGAGGAAAGACAAAGGAAAGGAAGTCAATCTGTAACCCAGTTTTTCACCAAGAAAGGTGGGTAGCCTATAGTCTGTGAGTGGTATTAACCTGTTGGCTTAATGTCCATAGGGAAATAAGATAGCCAGCCACAGACTAGGGTCAGCCTACATTTAAACACCATTTAATCAGTTCAGGCAAACGTTTAGCAAGATATTCATATGGCTGTAAAAGATGGCCTTTAGCAAATTCTTTATGGTTGCTTTTAATCTTGCATCAAATAGTGAACTGCATACTGTATGCAGACTTGCATGCATGTACTAATCACCAGCAGTAAATATTGTGCTAGTACTAGTATTGAACTACAAGAAGCAAGACAGTTGCAAGCCTTTAATTAGAGTTATGTAAAGCTTTTGATGGGACAGTTAGGTCCTAGAGATGTGGTGACAACAGCTGCGCAGAGGGGGCCCAATTTGATTTTTTATAAATATAAAAATAAATTTATGTTTTCACCCAGGCAATGTCAGGTACACCAGTGCGACCTAGAACAATTATTAGTCGCACTCTTAAACATTTTGGTCGCACTCTGGAGCCCTAAGGTAGATGAAAACTGTATGTTGATCGTTAACATTCCTGCAAAGAAAATCTGTGTTCGCTTGCCCGAGCAGTCGATGTATATGCAGAAGCGAGCCCTGCTGTTCAATCATGTAATTTTCTTTAAATTATGACAATCTTATTTTATTTTTTACTCTTTCCGCACACTGTAGTAACAAGTGTTTATTTGAGGAGCAGAATCATTATGTATATTTGTGTGCAAGTTGTATAACATACAGTAGAAAAGTGATCAGCTCAGTTATATTGTAAATCTATAGTAAATGTGGATTACATGAACAGTGTAGCACATTGTTCACCTCTGCTTCTGCATATATATATTATACCCTGCTTCTGCATACATACATATTTGTGTGTGTCAGTGTTTTTTTTCAGACGTGGTTTATCAGTTGTCAACTCTTAAAGTGTTCGCTTCCTCTGATGAGGAAGACGAGGCTTCCTTCTCCTGCTTTGCCACCGATTTTTCACCAAACAGTGGCTGAAAAATGGTAAGGACTTCAACAACCAAACAGACAAGATTGAAACAACTTCCGTGGAGAGAACGGACAAGAATGGTACTAAAGTGTACAGTACAGCAAGTTTTCTCAAAGTGAACTCCAGTGAGTGGTCTCCCAGTACTGAGTTTTCATGCCTGTTTGAGGGGAAAGGTAAAAATGGCATTCCAGCCTACAAGAATTCATCTGTAGTCTACAAAGGAAATACAGAAAATGGTGAATAAATTGATACTTTTTTCGTAATGTTAATTTAATTTCACTTCTCATGGTTTTGCAGCTATTTCTTTTTAATAATTGTTCATTAATTCCTCACCCGATAGGTCATGTATGTCCTGAACAAATGCAAATAAAGATCGATGGCCCCTCAATGGCGGACATGTTTTTAAACAACAAAGGATCTTTAGTATGTACAGTCCACCTGGCGTCTGTGATGCCCCGTTGCTCTTTGTATTGTTTCACTTCTGTATTTTGGTACTTTTTTGGGACCTGGGTGTTACTCAATGCTTCTGCTTGCTGCTAGCGCTGATCACTCTGCCCTGTCATGCTGCAACATCTGTGCAACAGGCTTCCAGCCCCATCTCCACCTGACTCGAGCAGACATTATAAAAGTACTCTGCCATCTAGCCTAAATACAAAGACATTACACCTAGAATTGAGACAACACAGTTGGTTAGTTGACAAAAACTTGAAGGTATGTATAACTGAAGAGATTAAATCAGTGCATATTGTCCACATCCAACATTTAGAATGAAACAAGTAAAAATAATATAACCTCTTCTCTATCTCAGGACTGCGAGTTGTGTCTCCAAACATCACACTATACCCTGTCTGGGAAGGAGAATTAGGGTCCTCACCAGTCAGACTCATCTGCACCCTAAGTGGCTTCTTTCCAGACAAACTGAGTGTATCCTGGCAACAGAACAACCAACGTCTAAACATTGTACCAATTCAAAGAAAGCTGCAGAGTGTGGAGGGAATGGAGAAAACCTTCAGTCTAAGCAGTGAGATTGAGCCAAATATGAAACAGTGGTCAGATGGCTCAAGTTTTACATGCAAGTCCAATCACAACAACAAGGAATCCATAAAAACAATAAGTTTTTGCCAAAGAAAGTATGTGCAGCTACTGTCTCATTGCACAATATGTAACAGATATATCATTCATGTTTTAAGATTAAAAAATGTTGTCTTAAAATAAGTACTTTGAATAAGATGTATCATTTCACATTGAACATTTATGTTTTTTTTCCTGCAGTTCATGCAAGAACTACTCCTTCTATGCTTGTGGAGATTCCAAGCTTCAGGACAGTAATGACAGCCAAGACTGAGGTGAAGGCAACATGTTCAGTCCTCCTACTGTGTTTGATGCCAAGGTGACCTGGCAAATAGACGGGACAGACCCAATCAAAACCCAAGTTAATCTGGCCAGAAACGCATCTCATTTAATAAGCATGACGGTTTCCTCAAGTAAGTGGAAACAGCTGAGGGTTGTAAAATGTAAAGCTGAACATCGCTGCTTCTCATCCACTGAGGAGACCGTAAATGTTTCAGGTAAAAGGATTAGACAAAATAATAAGTGTGGAAATGCTGTGTTAGTGAAGTGACCAAAAATAAATACCTCTTCTTGTCTTTCTGCATCATCCAGAAAATGTCATTCGGACTCCATTGGTTGAGATCAAGAGATCTCTCCCAGATTTGCTGAAGGGAAACAGTGCTGTGCTGGAGTGTGACATCACAGAACTCTCCTCCAGTGACCTCTATATCACCTTTCAGGCCGACGATACTGACATCTCTGAAAAAATTGATGTTGATCTTCCTGAAACGCCAGGCCCCCATTCAATCAGTAGACGATTCCTTGTCCCCCAAAACCACTGGAATAATGACACAAGTTTTTCCTGCAGAGTAAATCAAGGCCTCAACATGACTTTCAAGTCAAGAGCAACAGGCCATATTTTTGGTGAGTGTTGTACTTCTTTTTGTTTAAAAACTGTTGATTTGTTACTGCCATTGCATTTTTTGTATTTAAATTAATTTAAAATGTGCCTGATTCAGTTTTAATTCATTTATTCATTTGTTGACATATAGGGGACCCATCAATGGAGCTCCTTCTGCTCCCCAGTGAGGAGGAAGGACCACAGAGACTTGTATGCTCTGGATGGGGCTTCGACCCTCAAATTAAATGGTTTTCTGAGTCTCAGCAAAGATCTTCTTCAACCGATGAGATCAGCATGAATGCAGATGGTCGTGTGGCAGTAACCAGTCAACTTCATATCCCTCAAACAGAGTGGAAAACAGGACAGGTCTTCACTTGTGAAGTATCTGACAAGTCTCTGAACATAAATGTCAGGTAAAATTAAAACATAAGGAGAGTAACAATGTCAAGCCATGTGCCTAATGACAGTACTTTGTCCATGTGACAAGTATTACAGTGTAAACTGAGAGCTTCATTAATCATTTTTTGTAAACTAAAGAGGGCAGAAGAAGCTCACAGACACACAGCCACCACCATATCACCTCCAGATGAACAGATTTGTTCAATCTGTCCTGCACAAAAAAACATATAACTACTTACATGTAATGTTGGAAATCATACGTATTCAAACACTTCAAAAGCAAGTTTTCCCACAATTAGAGGGTGTAGAGAAAATATATTTTAGAATAACATTGTCCACTGGTCCCCAACTGTGGTAGGTGTAGCAGAGATAGTATTTGAGCTCCCTCTAGTGGTACACAGATGTATCTCTAAACTTTTTCTTTTTTAGTGAAATACATTCATTTAAAAACATAATACTATCAAAATAATAAAAACCTTTGAATAAAAAAAACTCTACTTAAACTATTAAGTGTCTGAAATGTAGTTTAAAATAAGTTTTGCATTTCCTGTAATGTTTTGTGTCAATATCAGCCTGCTACCTAATCACATTCATGCATCTAGCACATATTTACAACCATAATTAGTCATGAGCTAAAATATGATGTTAAGCTAGTAAGCAGAGGTAAAATTAATGGTTAAAAAACACTGCAATCATGGCTCCAAAGGGACACAACTGGAAAGAGAAGTATGCATCAGGCGTACCTTTTTTCCCACTAAATTACTGATGTTTCTTGAACCGGTTGCATTACAGATTCAACAGCAATGGACAATAAATAATTTGCTTCTTAGGAATGAACCTGCCTCCTGCATGACCTGTACATAGCTGAATAGGGTCAGGCTACGCTACTGTATTTTCAGGTTGGTCATAATGGTAGAAAGTGAAGAGCCAAATAGTTCCTGAGGGGGTAGGCAGTGGGAAAGGTTTGAGAAATAATGTTGTACTTTATTGATGATTGGATGTTGCTTCATAATTCTTTTTCTTTGTATTTTCAAGTGTCAGTTCATTCAGACTCCCCTCCTTCCATTCATGTGGAGATTCCCAGCTTCAAGACAGTAATGATGGCAACATGTGAGGTTAAAGCAACATGTTTGGTCCGCACTGTTTTTGGTGCCAACATCACCTGGCTTATGGGTGGAACGGTTTCAACCAGTAATACAGTGAGCCGGGATACAAACACGACTCACATAGCACCCGCAATCAGTATATCAAATGCTATGAAAAAACAAAACAAAATCAGGTATGTGTGGGTGTCCCAGGCCTGTAATAATCCCACCCAGTTTTAGGGTTAGGATTATTGGTTAGCTTTAGTTCATTCCGCCCAAATGAAAAAATTAGCTGTCCTACCTGCCTGTCTTCCTACCTTCCTGCTGGCACTTTGCCTGTACAGTCTTTGCTCATGAGCAGAGTCTTCCACAAGGTTGGGCAGATATATTGCTAAAGTTACAGAGCTAGTCGTACAAGAATGGCAGAGAAAATGCAGCCGAAGTTTCCACTTCCACCTATACCTACAACAGCTTGAACTGCTACACAAAGCAAGAAAAGAAAGACAGAAAAAAAAAGAGAGGCTACAACCAGAAAGAGGTTGTCAAGAGATCAAACCAGAGTCAACATCGCTGTGGTTTTGTAACAATGGTGAGAACTGAGGGAGTTGGAGTGCCTGAAAAGTGACTCCATGGTATCTTTATTTCTGTTGGACAGGTAGTTACTTGGTTTGTTTTGGGCGAACTTTTTATTTTCGTACACTATGTAGTTTGTAGAATTATGAGACATTTTACAGTTAGCAATGACAGCGATGTGGTGCGCTCCTCTCTCCAACGCTCTCTCGTGGACTCGTCCTCCAGCAGCACTCACGCTGCGTGTTATCAGTTGGGGGAGTGGCTTTGGAGGGAGGCCTGGAGAGAGAGAGGATGGGTTTTTTCTTAGTTGGATACTTCCAAATTCCAGTCTCTAACAATACCTACATGTGCTTTAATGATACAATGTGCATCATCGTCATCATCACAATATTATTATTGTGCTTTAGAGCCAAAGTGACCGGAGTTGGTTGAGCAGCCGTACGTATGTTCATTCATACTGGACTGTACTAAAAACCATACATGTGGACATACACTTACGCCTGTTCATGTTGAAAATCACATTTGATATCTGTGCTAAACCATAATCAACAATCATCAATAATAATCATCCATAAATCATTTTTCTACAGTTTATTTTACCTGTTGAGTGTATCCCAGCATGTACTAGCAGAGAGGCAGGGACAGGTTTACAGAGTATGGCAGAGCTTCAAACACAACCATCTTTCTCTATTTTAAGTTGTCTGTTCAAAGTCTGTTCAAATGGAAAATAGTTGCAGTCCCTCCTTTAGAACTGAAGAGGGCAGTCAAGGACCGACTGTGTTCTTAATGCTGATCAATGTTCAATGTTAATGTTAATGATAATATGGAACATAAATGTATAATAATGTTATATGTTATAATGTTTTCATCCAAATCTGATGGCTTCCCTACCCTGTCAGAACATATGCAATTTGGGTAAAATGGCTATTCCAACTTTTTCATGTGTTATATGTGTGAATGTGTGTGTCTCTAAACATGTTTCAGCCTTGTTCAGTGTGCACTAAGAAAAGCTGAGACCATGAAGAATACAAGTGGTTTGGAAGATAGATACTATCCAAATCATGTGTTGCTTATACTGTCTGTATGTTACATACTGTATGCTCAGAATCTTGCACCAAATGTTGCATCCAGTCGTTTCCATTTATGGTCTGTGTCTTGTCCAACCAGCCTTGAAACCTCAATTAAAAACACATAAGAAGCAAACACTGGGATAACACTCGTCTAATGAATATCTTTATACAACCAACAAAAAGTATTCCCTCAGTAGGTAGATCAGATCCCTTCAGTCAATAAATATCACTGTTATCCTTTTTATTTTTTCAACACCATGAGGAGGAGTCAATGCAAATTTGGATCTCTTCCATCTTTATTATTTAGCTCACTGCAAACTGGAGACACAGCAAACCATCATCCAGACACACAACACATTTTCACTATGACTTTAACAGCATGTATACTGTTTCTGGTGGTATCACTCATTTCTGGTGAATACACAATTCTGCCCTCTTCTTTTTCTGTGTCAAGGTTTCTGTTTGGCTGTGTTCTGATCAAACTGCTGTTCTCCCCAGGTGTTTGCAGTCAGACTCTGACCGAGTCTGAACCAGTGGTGAAGAGCCCGGGAGAATCCCACAAACTGACCTGTACATATGCAGGAATATCAGATAGTAGCGCTGATATCGGCTGGATCAGACAAGCTGAAGAAAAAGGACTGGAGTGGGTTGCCTTTATTTCTGCTCCGAGTGGAGCCACTAAAGCTTATTCCACATCAGTCCAGAATCGCTTCACCATCTCCAGAGACAACAACGTGGACCAAGTGTATCTGCAGATGAACAGCCTGACAACTGAAGACTCTGCCGTTTATTATTGTGCTCGAGAGCCACAGTGACACAGGAAGCCACAGAGCCGTACAGAAACCACTACAGACAGTCACTGATAGAAAATAAAACCACTTTGTACAAGTTTTTAAAATAATAAAAAAAAATTTATTCAATCTCCCCATTAATTCTTTAAATATTTCATTAATGTCATTAATTATATCATATTTGTCATTGTTTCTTTCAATCTGTTTTTTTCAGGGTTTTTCAAGTTCCTTGACAAGTTTACATTTTTTTCTTAAATATCTTGAAAGATACAAAATACTGTTGTTGACGTTGTTTAAACAAAATATTTTTTAAAACTAATTTAAAAGATTTGAATGCCAGTTTTATCGTACATTAAAGTCCATTTAATCAGTCGGTGCATTAAAAAATAGAAAATTAAAAGGAATAGAAAAAAACTAAAAACACTGATCAACTGGTTGAAAAACAAAGGTACACTCACACAAAATATTTCTATTTGGAATATGAGGTAACTATTGTGTTTATATTTTTTAATGACCAAATAAATGTGAGTTAATTAGTAGTTTAATGCAACAGCACAGATGCAAATGTTATCTTTGAGTAAATCTTTCTTTCTTAAAAATATTGTTTTTACATAAAACATTCTCTCTACCATGTCTGGTCTCTCTAGACGACACAGTGTTTACATCTTCAACTGATTTAAATAAAAGATTATTCAATATGCAAATAAAGGTTATTTATAAGGAAGTGAAGTGTGTGTGTGTCAGTGAGAGGACAGAAGAGCTCACATCAGTTCAGCTTCAACATCAACATGTTCTCTGTAGCTCTGATACTGCTGCTGGCAGCTGGATCCTGTGAGGAGCTTTCAGTGGATTCACACTAATAAACACATTAGCAACACTGAATAGTCAGATGAATGATGGAGATAATGTTGATTTCTGTTTCCACAGGTGTGAACAGTATTGATCTCATCCAGTCAGACTCAATGGTTGTGCAGCCTGGACAGTCTTTGACCATCACCTGTCAGGTCTCTGGTTATTCTTTGACTGATAACAGCTATGCAACAGGTTGGATCAGACAGTGTGAAGGAAAATCAATGGATTGGATTTCCCATATGTGGGGTGGAGGTAGCTTTTATCAAAATAATGCTCTGAAGAACAAGTTCAGTTACAGCAGAGACACTTCTGCTCAAACAGTGACTCTAACAGGACAGAATGTGCAGCCTGAGGACACAGCTGTGTATTACTGTGCACGTCGGCCCACAGTCATACAAACCACCAACAGACCTGCACAAATACCCAGAAACATATGTGATCAACCAGTAACACATTCTAATAGAAGAATTGATAACTGAATTCACCCTCACACTATTTTCATTTAATTTAACACAAATAACAATAATATTAATTGATATTTAAAAATATTAGCTTAAGATTCTGCTGTTTATTATTGTGCTCTAGACTCACAGTGACTGGAGTTGGTTGAGCAGCTGTACAAAATCCTACAGTACTCATCTTTACTGACTGATAGATTCAGACAAAGAATTATATTTTCATTTAATCTTGTTTTAATAAAACCCTGAAAATTGGTCCAGAGAAAGATCATCATTAACCAACAACAAAAATCATTAAATACAGAAATAAAAGTCTTAATGGAGGAGGAGAAAATTAACTTTAAATGTCTACTGGCTCCCTGTCATCTAAACTCTCAGTCTCCTTCAGGGTCAGTCCCTCAACTCACTGGAATACTGGAATTAGTGTCACAAAACAATAAACAAATAAAAAATAAAATAAAATAAATTTGTTCATTAAAGGGCCAAAGACAGCACAACAGTCTGGTTGCTTTAATTAAACTACAACAAATACGCAGCATTTATGCAAATTAGAACAGAATAATGTCAGTAAATCATGTGGAATATAAAGTGAGTCAGAATATGAGAGTGAAAATAATGTTGAGGTTCTTGTATAAAATCACTAGAGGGCAGTCTGTGTCAACTTTCTCTCTCCTCTGATACTAAAAGGAGACTCTCAGATCTGATGTTCTCATTGATCTTAACTGACTGACCCTTGAACTCTGGACTGAACTAAAGCGTAATACTCCTGCTGCTCATGTAAACTGGATATTGTGAGAGTTGATACTTTTAAACAAAAGTCCTGTGTTAACTTGATTCAGCAAATTATGAGGCATTGTTAATGCTTTAATGGTAACATGTTCTTATTACATGTTTTACTAGAAACCCACCCAAGATATATTGTTTTGGTTCGTATTCCTTTTTGCTCTTTTCTTTTCTTCTCATTTTTAGGGGGTTGCTATCCAATACCACACACACTTTATTACCCACTTAAAATATGATGATGATTTTAGCTTTTTGTATTTTGTCGCACAGGTTTAAGATCTGAGCAGCTGTTTTCCCCTCGAGGCTTTCCAAGTATTTTATGCAAACCTGCAAACCACCAGCATCAGACTATTTACATGATCCTGACTGCTGCTATTTCTGTTTGCAGCAAATACAGTCAGCAAGTACAGAAAGTGAGTAAATATATGAATAAATAAATGCTGCAGTTACAAAAAGGCTACGCTCAGGTTTGAAGTTAATCATGAATGTAATGTAGGAGGCAGGCTTGGGGAGTAACGAATTACATGTTACTAAGTTAACTAATCAGAATATAAAAATACATTTTTGGAATCCATTTCAGGTACAGAAAAAGATGTAATCAGATTACAGTTACATTTACATTACTTTAATATTGTGATAATACGACTAGGTTACTGACTACATTTTTACAGGTAATCAGTAATTATATTGGATTTAATTTTCAAAGTAACCCCCCAACCCTGGTAGGAGGTGCTGACTAGGAGTGATAAACACACTGTAAACATGTCTTATAGAAAGCAACATTATTGGTGATTGTTCCTTTTTTTTCCATGGGTGCACATTATCATTGTTACATTAATGTATATGTTTTGCACAATGATTAATGTTAATATTCACATTTAGATTAGTAATAATGATCCTTATCATTGTGAACAGGTATACAAAAAATACAAAATGTTTCAATATTAACTTGTTTAGATTTAGACAGTAATAGTTTACAGTAATAGCAAAGTTAAAGTTGTTCCAGTTCTGTAAATGCAGAGGACATTTTCAAAATGTTACAGTTGAGTGTGTAATGAAATTAAAATATCATATGTAAAGCAGAGGTGATTTCCAGGCATGTTTTCACTCTGCAGATATAATAACAGTCATATGTTTGATTCTATGCAAACTCAGTGACCTTCCTTGTTAACATAAACCATGTTCTCTGTAGCTCTGCTGCTGCTGTTGGCAGCTGGATGTGAGTCTCTCTGGATTTGTCAAAGTCAACAGTTCTTCTTTTGCAGTATAACTTGATCATTTGTTACAAAACATTTTCTTTTTTAACAGGTGTAAAGTGTGAACAGTTGACACAGCCAGCCTCTGTGACTGTGCAGCCAGGTCAACGTCTGACCATCACCTGTCAGGTCTCTTATTCTGTTAGCAGCTACTACACAGCTTGGATCAGACAGCCTGCAGGGAAAGGACTGGAGTGGATTGGAAGGGCAGGTGTTGGTTACACAACACATTACAAAGATTCACTGAAGAACAAGTTCAGTATCGACTTAGACTCTTCCAGTAAAACAGTGACTCTAAACGGACAGAATGTGCAGCCTGAAGACTCTGCTGTGTATTACTGTGCCAGAGAGAGACACAACAACACAAACCATCAGCAGACCTGAACAAAAACCCCTCAGTGCCTGAACACTTGTAACATGAAGCCACCAGAGGAGGAGCCCTCAGACCACTAATGATTTCAACACCAGTTCACTGTTACAGTGAAGAGAGAAACAGACATAATAATTATTGAAGAAGTGAAAGGAATAAAACACGGTTCATTATTATATAGAAAAATAATATCTAACATACAGCGGATTTTACAAATCAGAAATATAAATTATGGAATTAGTTACATGTTATTCCTGTATTTAATGCTTAATTAATATTCTCAAATGTATTCTGACTATTATTGATACCCAGGTTTTGTCAACCTGTTGCACAAACTATACTAAAACATGCAAGAGGGACTCTTGGAGGAATGACTAATGTACAGTAAACATTCATTCTGCAGTTTCACCAAACATCAACTGAGATCCAAGTCAAATCCAGTTCCACACTGTGAGGAGGAGTCAATGCAAAACTCAGATGTCTTCCACCTCTACTTATCTGACTGCAGAGAGGATGACAGAGAACAGTGGACACACAGTTTAACATGATGGACTATAGGACAGGACTGCTGCTGTTAACTATCTGCTGGGGAGGTAAAGATCATCACTGATCTTGAGTTGACAAATTTTTATGTGTACGGCCAATGTAACACTTGACATGAATATCTTTCTTGGTTTAACAGGTGTTGATGGTCAGACTCTGACAGAATCTGAACCAGTGGTTAAAAGGCCTGGAGAATCTCACAGATTGACCTGTACAGCCTCTGGATTCACATTCAGTGATTACTCTATGAGCTGGATCAGACAGGCTCCTGGAAAAGGACTGGAGTGGATTGCTTGGATTGTGATGGAGGATTTAGCTTCTCTTCTCGACAGTGATAGTACCACTTACTCCCAGTCAGTCCAGGGTAGATTCACCATCTCCAGAGATGACTCCAGCAGTAAACTCTATCTACAGATGAACAGTCTGAAGACCGAGGACACAGCAGTGTATTACTGTGCCAGAGAGACACAGTGAGAGACAATAACAGGAGAGTCATACAAAAACTACTTCCTCTATTTACAACCACCACAAGCAATGTTCAGTTCCTTCAGTGCCTGTTCCCTGTCAGTGTTTTCATGTAATACTAATTGTGATGAATTAATTAATTCCAATTAATTACTTAATTAAGGACTGCCTTAATATTGAAGTCTTATTTATTATTATTATTTATTTAGACATTTAAAAAATTAAAACCTTGATATCATCAGATCACTCACTGCTCTCATTGGTCTTTCTCTAGTACAAATTAACTATGCTGGTCTAGCAATCAGTATATCAAATGCTCTGAAAAAACAAAAAACAAAATCAGGTATGTGTGCGTATCCCAGTCCTGTAATAATGCGTGTTATCAGTTGGGGGAGTGGCTTTGGAGGGAGGCCTGGAGAGAGAGAGGATGGGTTTTTTCTTAGTTGGATACTTCCAAATTCCAGTCTCTAACAATACCTACATGTGCTTTAATGATACAATGTGCATCATCGTCATCATCACAATATTATTATTGTGCTCAAGAGCCAAAGTGACCGGAGTTAGTTGAGCAGCCGTACGTATGTTCATTCATACTGGACTGTACTAAAAACCATACATGTGGACATACACTTACGCCTGTTCATGTTGAAAATCACATTTGATATCTGTGCTAAACCATAATCAACAACCATCAATAATAATCATCCATAAATCCTTTTTCTACAGCTTATTTTAACTGTTGAGTGTATCCCAGCATGTACTAGCAGAGAGGCAGGGACAGGTTTACAGAGTATGGCAGAGCTTCAAACACAACCATCTTTCTCTATTTTAAGTTGTCTGTTCAAAGTCTGTTCAAATGGAAAATAGTTGCAGTCCCTCTTTTAGAACTGTAGAGGGCAGTCAAGAACCGACTGTGTTCTTAATGCTGATCACAATAATGTTAATGTTAATGATACTATTGAACATGAATGTATAATAATGTCACATGTTATAATGTTTTCATCCAAATCTGATGGCTTCCCTACCCTGTCAGAACATATGCAATTTAGGTAAAATGGCTATTCCAACTTTTTCATGTGTTATATGTGTGAATGTGTGTGTCTCTAAACATGTTTCAGCCTTGTTCAGTGTGCTCTACGAAAAGCTGAGACCATGAAGAATACAAGTGGTTTGGAAGATGGATACGATCCAAATCATATGTTGCTTATACTGTCTGTATGTTACATACTGTATGCTCAGAATCATACAGATAGAATCACAGGTAGATTTTGGACTCTAAATGAGATATTGGGGAGTGATGAGCAAAAACCTTAAACCCCCAGCTGGAGCCTACAGGTGGATGCTGAGGTGGTGGTGGGGCTTACAGAGCAGCAGGCAGCAATAGCTTACACTTAGTAAATAAAAGGAAACCAATCAGTAAATCAATTAATCTTACAATTTTTAATGATTTAGGGAATTCTGAATTAAAAACCAAAGAAAGTGGAGCCAATATGTAACTCATTTGAGTCAAATTTTATTTGAACAAATCTTCTGGGTCATTTAAAAGAAATAAAAGTCAGATTTGTAATTTAATGATGTCTTTGGCTCATGGTCAGGTTGTTTAAATGCTGTTAGAGTTCTGTACAAACCCTAGAATTTCACTATAAAAAAATATATATAAAAAATGTGATGTTGATGTTATGGTGATGTTTAATATTGATTCAAGGCTTTGAGAAGCCTCAGTCTAACAATAATTTAAACTGAGGTTGAAAAAATGGTTCCAGATGATAATTTCACATCAGCACTTTTGGCAAAATAAATCCTAAAACGTTGATTTAGACTCCAACATGAACATCAGTGAGATATTAAACCTGAAATTACAAGTTGATTACAATTCAATGCAGTTACTCCTTCTCTTCCTTTGAGGTTCCTTTCTTCTCTTCCTTTCTACGCGGTTGAACAGACCTACAAACAGCCAATAAATGAGACAAATACCCAGCATCCTTCATCACATTATATGCTGACAGGTCAGGTCAACGGTATTATTTAATTTTCCTTATTTGTTCATTGTTCTGTTTGTTGTTTGTTTGTTTGTTCCTGTTTTTGGATGTGATATTGTATCCTATGTGGATGGACAATCAGCTACATTAAAAAACTAACAAATAATAAATGATATAATGAAATGAAACTCTAACAGAGAGTCTGTAAATGAGCCCCTCCCTCCACATGATATCCTGATGCAAATCTTCAGTCTGTGCAGTGTACTTCTGTCTGCTGACTGCTCTTGTACTTTGTGTGGAGCATCAGAGGTCACATCTCCAGCCTCAGGATGATGAACACACTCACTCTTCTGCTGGTTGCTCTCTCTCTGCCCTGTGAGTTCTCCTGCTTCTTGCTGTTTTATCTTTTATCAGACAACATGGACTGATGGTCAGTCAGTGATACCAGAAAACTTCCCAGATGACTGTCTCACTTTCTTCTGTGGTTCCTCTCTCCTTTCATCTCATCAGGTTGTACAGGTCAGAGTATGGAGTCCATTCCTTCCAGTTCAGTAGTGAAAAAGCCTGGAGAGACTGTCAGTCTGTCCTGCAGGGGATCTGGCTTCACATTTAACTGCTGTGTTATGAGCTGGATCAGACAACCTGCAGGAAAAGGACCGGAATGGATAGGGAGCGGCTGGTCTGATGCCAGTAGAAACACATATGCCAGCAGTGTGCGAGGACGTGCAGAAATCAGTAGAGATGACAGCAACAGCATGGTGTATCAGAGACTGTCCAACTTAAAGCGAGAGGACTCTGCTGTGTAGTACTGTGCCAGAGACTCACAGTGGTTAAAGGAAGCAGAGAGGCTTTACAAAAACTCCACAGAACATTTGTTTACAAAGACCAACAGGTGGCAGCAGAAGATATAAAGTCAGATAAGTTCTATACAATAATATTGGTTAATAATGATCCCATTATATTATTATTATATTTTTACCAGCAGGTGTTGAGAATGTATTTGGACATTAATGCTATAATTAATGATATATCCAGTATATGGATGTAAATGCTGCAGAACAATATAAATAAATACAATTGGTATAAACATCAGGTCAAATAACTTGATGGACATTATTATCATTAAAAATGATCATTATAATATAAAATGATCTAAATCATGTTTTTTCAGAGATGTGTGAGATGTGGTGTGTTTCTCTGTGAGGAGGAGGAGTCAATGCAAAACTCTGATCTCTTCCATCTCTACATATGTGTTGCAGAGTGAAGGACAGAGACTAAATCATACACACTGTAGACTGGACAGAGACAACTGGCTTTTACAATGATCAGACCGGATTATTTGGTTGTTTTTCTCATCCTGTCTATTAACTGTGCAGGTAATAACAATCATTGTTTGTCTGAATAACCTCCTGATACAAAGACAATATGGCTGTATTACAGTAACTAATGATGTGTTTAACTGTCTGCAGGTACTGAGGGTCAAACACTGACTGAGTCTGAACCAGTGGTTAAAAGGCCTGGAGAATCTCACAGATTGACCTGCACATATTCAGGGTTTAGTGGCCATTACACAAATGCTTGGCTCAGACAGGCTGCTGGAAAAGGACTGGAGTGGATCGCTTTAATCAACTATGACAATAGCTACATCTACTACTCTAAGTCATTTAGAGGACGGTTTACCGTCTCCAGAGACAACAGCAGACAGCAGGTGTATCTGCAGATGAACAGTCTGAAGACTGAAGATTCTGCTGTTTATTATTGTGCTCGACACCCACATTGAGACAGGAAGGAGCAACGCTGTACAAAAACTTACAGTACTCATCCTCACTGGACTGACGGACTATGAGAAACAATTACTGTGTTATTTTTTGTTTTGTTTTGTTTTTGATTTTAAGAAAATCATGAAAACTGAAATATTATTAACCAACAATTATTAACAACAATAACCTTTGAACAAATAAAATGTTTTAATGATCAGTTCCTCAATGATCAAGGTCAGCACAACAATCACAAAAATACTACATGTATATTTCAGTCATATT